AAGTTTTTTTTTTTTTTGTTTTAAAATTAATATTTGCAAAATGAAAATATTAAAATCTTTTAAATAAATGTGTTTTAAAAATATTTTTTTGAAATGAGTATTTTTTTTTTTTTTGATTTGACAAAAAAAAATGGAAATAAAATCAAATTATTGCACTTATTTTTCATTTATTGAAGTCCATTAAATTTATAATTTTGCATTTTTTTTAGAAAAATAAAATTTGTATGCTCCATATAATTGAAAGAAGATAAATAAAATGAACAATATTTTTAAAACTGTTTTTTATTATTTGTTTGTTTATAACCAAATTTTAAGGTATATATAAATACAAATTTTTTAAAAATTTTTACCCAAAACATTTAAATGTTTTTTTAAAAATCTGATTGAATATTTTTTTTTTTGTCAATATAATAGTAAAATTTATTTTTTTTTTTTCTTAAACATTTTTATTTTCATTATCAATATCTAAAAAAAAATATTAGCAAATTTTTTTTAAATAATTTAAAATTTTTTTGTTTTTTTCATTTGAAAAACTCCATTTTCATCATGAGATTTTTCACAATAAACTACAAATGATTCAATTTTTACATTGTCATTTGCACTAGTTGCAATTTTTGTTTTTTTTTACCATTTTTAAAATAAATAAAGGCTTTAATTAAATATCTTAAATTTGTTGAAAATTTTTTTTTGAAAATTTTAACATCCACTGTTTGGATTTTTTTTTGAATTTTTCTTATTTTTGAAATGATTGAAATTCATTAAAAATTTTTATTGACATGATTTTTTTCAAAATTGTTGCACCTTTTGTTATAAATAATATTATTCTATTGTTAATAGATTACAATTGTTTTTCCAAAAATAATTAGTATAGTAGTATTAGTAGTAGCAGTTAAATGGCTTGGTTGAGTTAGTAATTTTTTTTGAATGTTTAAAAGTATATCAGAAAGGCAACTGATCATTTAAATGTGGATCCAAAAAAAAAAACGTAGGAAATATACCAAATTAAACAAAATTGCTTAAAAAAAAATGAATTTTTTTTTTTTTTGTTTCATTTCTTCATATTTTCTGTAAAAAAAAAATAAATAAATAAAACTTTTTTCCTAAAGAGTAGAGTTTTTTATATGGATGTTATATATAACACACCCTATTCTATTGTTAATAGACTCTCCCACCTATAAGTAGTAGTAGTAGTAGTAGTAGCAGTTTAAAAGAAAAAAATGAGTTGGTGAGTCAGTCGATGTCGGACATTAAAGTATCAGCCACCACAACTAGATTGCTGCGTCAATAACTATTATATCAAGTTCCTAACGTTTTGTACATTGAAACTTTTTAGGACCAACTTAGTAAAATACAAGCCTCCACTGTGAAACTACTCTATAACAACTTTGGCGATGAGGGATTCAAAACTCATACGGGAAAAAAAAAAAAAATTGTTCACCATATACAACACTTTTATATGAACGATTTATTCATACGGAGGAAGAAAAAAAAATCATTCACCATACAACAATTACTTTCTGGATTCGTATTCATATAAAAAAGAAAAAAAAAATTTTTTTTACCATAACAAACTTGGCGACGAGGGATTTGATTGATTCATACGGAAAGAAAAAAAAATTCGCTCACTCACAACATTTGGCGACGAAATTCGTACTTCATACGGAGGAAAAAAAAAAAAAAATCTTGCTCACAAATTTTCGGCGACAAAGTTTAAAAAAAAAAAAAAAAAAAAAATTTGGCAAAGTTTTTTTTCAAAGACAAGACGTCAACTTAGTGACAAAAAAAAAAGCAGTCGTATTCTCAACTGAGAAAATAATTTTTTTTTCTCGATAAGACAGTTTGCTCAAATAGGTCATGAATTGAAAATTCGTTTAGGACCCCACCTCTACATTATTTAAGCATTGTGTAAACTTTTTGCGAAGATGGAGGAATGCAAAAATATATTCCAGGAATTTTTTAAATTCCAGACGGAACAACAGATGACAATATTAGAGCAACAAAAACATTCCAGATGCAACTACAGGAGGAAACTTTTAATAGACAAATGCAATTTCAAGGAAAATGGAACAGATGCATAAGGAGTTTCAAAACAAAATTCTGGAAATAACTGAGAAGAGGAAAGAGAAAAATCTACAAAATGATTCTTTCCCAGAGAATACAATATGGAATTCAATTGAAATATTCACGTACAGTCCAGATGAAGAGATAACTTTTGAAGAGTATTATAAAAAATATACGGACGTGTATAACAAGAACTGCCATTCGTGGTCTGAAGGAAAGAAGGTTAGACTTCTTTTAAGCAAGTTAGGAACTGCTGAGCATAACAAATTGGTAAACTACATTTTACCGAAAAAAACTAGCGAGTTGACATTTACCGAGGCGGTAAATATATTAAGTGAATTATTTAGTAAAAAGACATCTTTGTTTCACAAGAGGTGGAAATGTTTGAATCTGATGAAAGATGACAAACAAGACTATATAACGTACGCAGCCAATGTGAATAAGCATTGTGAAGAATTCAAGCTAGCAGAGTTAAGCGCTGACAATTTTAAGTGCTTAGTGTTTGTTCAAGGGCTGGTATCGGAAAGAGAGGCAGAGAGTTGAGAAAATTAGTACTGGCAAAATTGGAAAATGAACCAAGAATTACGATACAGAAATTGGCAGAAGACTGCACAAGATATGTTAGCGTAAAGAAAGATTCGAAAAAAGATAGAACAGTCTGGCGTTTCGCATGTAAGGAAAATACGCTACAAAAAAAAAAGTCAGTCTACCAAAAAGAATTCTAAAATTGCGGATTATCAAACAAAAAAGTGAAATACCAGAGAAAAATAAACAAAAACTCCCCCGAAGCCATGTTTTGCTTGCGGTGAACTTCACTGGTACAGATATTGCAATTTTAGGAATAAAAAATGTTTCAACTGTAAAAGAGTGGGTCATAAAAGCTCACACTGCAGGTCAAAAAAAAATAAAGACAATAAAATAAGAAAATTAAAGTCCAACGAGGTGAAAGATGGAATAACCAGAAAATTTGTTACCGTCAAAATAAGTAATAAAAAAAATAAAAATGCAACTCAACACTGGTTCCAATTTATCTATCAAATTTGCATACGTGGAAGAAGTTGGGTAACCAACTTTAATGAAAACAAAAAAAATCGCGAGGTCAGTGACGGGAGAAAAAAAACAATTTTTTGGAGAATTTATTTACAAACGTCACGTTAAATAAAAAAAAAACGCGAAAAGCTAAACTATTTGTCATAGAAAATACCACGAACTTACTTGGTACGAATTGGATAACAGAATTTCAATTATGGGATCTACCGATAAATTCTTTCTGTTACAAGGTAGAAAATTTAAACTCACGAAGCCCAAAAATTAGTAAAGAAACTTAAGGAAACATTTCCTACTGTTTTTTTCTCCAGGTTTGGGAACATGTACCAAGATGGAGGCAAAATTCCAGCCAAAAGAAAACGCTCAGGCGGTATTCAAAAAGAAAAGGAATGTGCTGTTTGCTTCAATTGAACAGATAGATAAAGAATTGGACAGATTAGAAAAACCGGTGTATTTAAAAAACGTTGAGTTAGTGAATGGGCAACACCGACGATATATGTGAAAAAAAAGCTCCAGAAAGTAAAGATGAAATCGACACCGAGAAAAACTGGGGAGTGAGTTACCCACAACCAAGGACATGCAGTATTATTAAATTATTAAATGAAAGTCAACTGAAGTCACCACAGAAAACGTTAAGAAGCACAAGATCAACAAAAGGGAAAGCTAGAGGCTGAACAAATAGAACCACAAGAAGAACCTACAGAAACTGTGACACCATCCTTAAGAAGCTCAAAGCGGAAGGTTGTTTCTGGTAACACTATGGATAAAAAAAAAAAAAAGAAAAGATTGGCTATATGATGTACTTGGTGAAAGGGAAAAAATTCACGTGCAGTAACCAGATCAGACGACGTTTTTTCAGACGTTTTGACAGCGGTCCCACGGAAAAAACGCCAATGGAAGTGATTTTCAATACGTTTGATCTAACAACGCCTGCAAATAATTTTACCTGAGGTACGCCAATCCAGAAGAAAAAAAGAAAGGCAACTGATCATTTAAAAGTGGATCCCCCAAAAAAAAAAAAAAAAAAAAAAACGTAGGAAATACGCTACGATGTTGCTAAAAAAAAAAAAATAAAATTTTTTTTTTTGTTGTTTTTTCTTCATATTTTCTGTAAAAAATGAAAAATAAATAAATAAAACTTTTTACTCCTACAGAGTAGAGTTTTAGGTGGGGATGTTATACTGGAACACACCTATTCTATTGTTAATAGACTCTCCCACCTATAATAAGTAGTAGTAGTAGTAGCAGTCGCTAAGTGGCTCAGTGAGTTGGTGAGTCAGTCGATGTCGGACATTAAAGTACCAGCCACCACAACTAGATTGCTGCGTCAATAACTATTATATCAAGTTCCTAACGTTTTGTACATTGAACCTTTTTAGGACTGACTTAGTGAAATACAAGCCTCCACTGTGAAACTACTCTATAACACCTTCGTAATTTAACTTCTGGCAAAAAGTTTATATCATCGGAAACAAGTCACTTTAACTTCAGAAAGTTCATCTATTGGAAGGTTAAAAAACAACAAGGACTACACAAATAATCAGTTTAAAATTAATGGCTTCATTAGCAAATAAAAAAAATTCGCTGATCATTTTGAGTGGGATATGTGAAAAGAACAATAATGAAAAATTCATCAAATTGACATACTTGGTAATTTGAGTAGAAGTAACTGCACTTCATAAAATAAAAAAAATATATTTGTGCTTAAAAATCATAAAATTATATGCATTCAATAATACATCAATGTAGATCAATACATTAAAGCATATTTTTTGATAATGGCGGGAGTGATTTTTTTTTTTTTAATTGATCTTTTCATAAAATCTTTATATTATATATATAACTTTTGATTTATCAGTAATATTGATATTTTTTCCTCCATGCTTTGATAGGTTTTGAAGAAGTATGCCTGTTTATGGTGCATGAATAAAAAGCCATCCAAGCGACCTAAATTGTTCATTGTCAATTTACAATGGACACCCAAAGATGACTTGGCAACTCTTAAGATTAATGGTAAAGAAATATTTTATCTAAAAGAAGCATAACCTTTATCTCAGTCTCATAACCTTTGTAATTCATTTTGTGAAGTTTTTTAAAGCTTAAGTCAAAACACTTTTGAAAATGAATCCTTTCAAATAGTTTTCTCTAAAGTTCTACCAGTTCATACATGGCAGTTTCTTTTATGTACTAAATTTTGATTTAAAAAATTTGAATAGAAATTCCTTTAGTTAGATTATTTTACATATGAATTCAGGATTGCAAGTAGATAATAGTAGTGATCATTTGTGATATAGCATACAGTGCATTTTTAGTATGAAATGCAAAGGTTATTGTTTCCTGAAAAACTCCTGCTTTATATGTTAGATATATAATTAGATTATTCATTTTTTCCAGACATTTACTATGTTCAGTTGTGATTTCTATTTTTTTTTTTTAATAACAAAAGCAACAACATAGGTTCAGTTTAAGCCAGTCAAAATAATGATTTATCTAGAAAACAGAGTTACTGGGAAGATGTTTATAATACTCTCTTATTTGTGTCTCCTTAACTAATCATAACTTTTAAAAAGCTAGTCTTTGTGTTATTCTCCTTAATACAATGTTTGACCTCTGTTTTATTTCACACTCTTTCTGATTACATGTTTTTAAGCAAAGAAGTCAGTCTTTCAACAATTTCTAAGTATATTATTTTAAAATTTTGTATTTTTGTTTGTCATTTTAGGGAAATGTGATGATGTTATGGAAAAAGTAATGAAAAAACTAGGATGGAAAATTCCAGAATATACTAGGTAATCTCTGTCCATAAATTTCACAATTTTTCTAGATGCTTATATTTTACAGAAAATCAACTTGTACATCTTTGAGAATTAAGGGTATGCATACATACTCAGTGATTGTTTTGTCAAAAGTTATTTACTTAAAACAAATATACACATTTATTTCAGCTATTTTTATTGCATTTATTCACAATACTGACATAAATGCTTTGTTCTTACTTCAGGGAAAAAGATCCTCTATTTCGCATGGCAGTTCCATTACAACCTCATGAATACAACACAGTCTCATCAAAACAACTTCAAGTGCCTGATTCCTTGAAAGAGAAATTCTACGGGAAGTTATTAAAGAACAATTCACCAATACATCGAGATCATATTCCCGCTAGACTTTCCACCAAAAGTAATTGCTTTGGGCAATCTCCTTGTCGGGAATCAGCCGTCCTCCACAAAACAATATCTACTCATAAAAAGGCTTTAAAACCTTCTGCTTTACATTCAGAAAGTTGTCTCTTATCAGAGTCAAGTTCTCAAAATCATCTAGATGTTGGCAGCAACAGTGAATCTATTTTAATTTGCAGAACATTGTCTCAACTTAATTCTCATGATAATGACAAGGACCATTCTTATAATCTTTTGGAATGGAAGTCACAGCCTGATTTTTGTTCTAGTTTTTCTTGTTGGCCTGTATTGATGGTGTTGATAGACCATGATTATCTACCCCATGAACAGTTCTGGACACTTATTCAAGATGCTGGAGTAAGCCAATATCAAAAGATACTTGATAGTCAAGATGTGTCACAGAAAGATAAAATTGTAACTTACCATAAAAGTGGCCTTAAGACTTCAAAATCAGTATCTTGTGATTGTACTATATCCCCTTTAAATTCCAGTAACTATAATGAATCAACTTCTGCCAATGCTTCTAGGCATGGTGACCATTATTGTGTCTGTGATAAAGTTCCACAACCAGAACTGGCTGGTTTTCAAGAAACTGCTCGCAGTTTTGATAAGAACTTTGGTTTGGTTACATATCCTGCTACCTCAGCTATTGATTGCAAACAAAAAAGCTTAATCAGTGAACATGAAGTTACTACAGATGGTGCTATGAATAAAAAGCAGAATAAGCGTATTCCAGGGTGGTTTGGTAAAGGACTAATTGTACACAAAAAGAGGAAACGTTTTTGATAATTCTAATTTGGTTAACAAAATCTTCTCTTGAGATTTCCTTGCTTCTTTTTCATGTTTTCATGTCAGACTATTTTACTTTAGCAAAAATAATTTTATTTATTGGATTGATTTTTTTAGTTTTGAATTTTCCCTGGATTTATTTGAGTAATATTACTACTATTTCTTTTTCATTTTGTTTTAAATCTAGCATAAAGGAAGGAAAATTACAATTCTGGTGTTTTATTTGTTTTATTATTATTAAAGCAATTTGTGTTACATTTTTTTAGAAAGCAATTCAATAAATGATTTTTTAACTAAATTTATTGACCCAAAATAAATAGTTATTTATAATTTCTCTTGCTTTGAATTTAGGAAATTGTTTATCACTTTTCTGTACATTATACTCTTCAATGCATTTATTGATGTATTCAAATTAAGTGTATTTACAATCAAATTGCTGGTTAATGGAAACTTTCTTATGAAAAATATCAAGAACATTTTTATAAAATGGCATTTATTCCAACAACAGAATGTTTTACACCTATTATTTTAAGGCTTGTAATATCAGTATTCTGTTCTTTACTGAAGAACCTTATTTGCTTTTAATTTATAAGTTATGATTTTTTTTTCATTGAAATTTAATTAACAAGTTACATTACAAAAAATTAACTTATACACCTTACATCTTCCACTATTCTGTAGTGATATATTTTCTTGAAAGGGGCTCTGGCAAAAAATGGTGGGGCCTCTTTTATACATAAACATTTAACATTCTTTAAAGCCTGATCTGGTTTTAGTAACTGATTCCTCTGATAGGTAACTAAAGATCCTGTATAATATGCTCACTCCTTAAAGAAAAAAAACTTTTAAGTAGATTAAAATACAGTTTTCAGTATTAACTGATCAGTATGTTGATCAGTATAGGAGTGGGGTTGGGGAATAGAAGCTTTCTCTCTTTAATAAATAAAACAGGAAAATAAATATTTTATTATAATTAGTATTTTAGCACCTAAGCAGACTGATTGTAAAATAACCACAACATTTTAATATTCCTGTAAAAACACACCTGTTTGATTCTAAGTATATAAATATATATAGTTTGAAACAAGATTAGATTGAAATAAAAAAAAAAAAAACATTTATATATTTTGGAGATTTTACTGTCATAATTATTTTTCGTTATGTATTTCTTTTAATGTATAGTTTGTTTTTTTTTTTTATTTTTAGGAAAATATTGATTCAATAGATTTATAAATATTCACTGGAACATTATTTTTTACGTTCATATATTTTTTAATTTGTCAAATTTAGTTGTATTTATAATTGCAGCATTTGTTTCATGCTGAACATATAAAATATATATAGGCTTTGAAACACTAAAAAACAAAAATTAATTTAAACATGCACTGCATAACAAATGAATCCTTTGTAGAAGAAAGTGTTTTATGAAAATCTGTATGTGGAATAAACACATTTCAAGTGTAAATTTATAACAAATAGATGAAATTCGAAGAATATAAAATACTGATGGAATCTCTTTTCAGGTGAAACTAAGTTTAATAAAATATACATGAAAAGAAATAAACAAAATAATTGTTTCATAGGTAATATTAACAATTGTAAATTCTATATTCACTGTTAATAATTATGAAAATATAACATTTTTGATATGTTGGTAATTAGTTATTTTATCAATGACTATAAATATTTTATCTAAAACTATAAATGCTTTTCCCTTTATTATACCCATTGCTGTTTTTGGCAATATGCACTTTGATGACATACATTAAGCATGGAGGAGAGAAGATTTAAAATTCTTTTTTTTTTAAATTTTTTGTTTGTTATTTTTAAAAGGTCATCTTTATTTATACTTTAATCATATATGTAAAGAATCATGAAAATAAATACATTTTCCTAGAAGTAGTCTTCTTAAAATTTTATGTTACTAATTACACTAAACAGGAAAGTTGCACTTTTGAAAATTATTATTGTCTCCTGATTAGAGTACTCAGATATGTTTAAGTGAGATAAACTGTATCTGCCACTGGAAGGGTTCAGTTGCAAATTACAGATGAGTAAGAAAGAAAAGTGTATGCAAATGGATAAGAGAAAAAAGGTAAACACATTTCATATTTGTGACATATCATGTCATACCTAATCTACAGATGGGCAATATGCACCTCAATATCTATGTGAATTATACAAATACCAACGTACCTTGACACAAACTTTGGAGAGTAATGTCATACTATAATAACAATTATCATTTATTACATGGCATAAGGAATATATCAATAAATAATAATCATTCTTAACAAGTGCCTTTCCAGGTTTGTTCTGACGGCCTCATTCTTCTGTTGAATATCAACTGTTTAAAATGGCTTGGAAATGAAATACTTTTACAATTTTCTTATAATCATTTCTTGTGGTTGTTCAGGCTTTTTTCCCCCCTTTCTAATATGATTGGTGCTACTTTTGAATAAAGCTAGTGACTCTGGTTTTTGTAAATGGAAATTATCAAAGATTTAAATACTCTTATACTTTTCCCAAGATACAAATCTAGTGCTTATCAAAATAATTTTTACTATCTAATTTGTGGTTAACTAAAACAAATTTATGCATCTTTCTTTCTGGACATGATTTGCTTCTCAAGTGCAAAGGAGACTATCATATAAAAGCACTTATTGGATTGACTAACAATAAGACTTTTATCTGATCTTAAAAAATGTTAAAAATTTGGATAACTTTTTTGTTTTGCAATAAATGATAGCCTTTTTTCTTTGATAAATACATTCTTGTATTAAAAACTGCATTTTTTTCTATTTTACTTCTTTTTAAATGAAATTATCATTTTTCTATGCTGAATGTAAAGAAATTCTCTATTGACATAAATTTGATTTCTTATCTTTTTGTCATTACATTTCTAAATGACTTCACTGGCATACAGATTTAATTTTTGTATTTGAATTAATCTTTTATTGTGTTGCCCACTAAGTTCATTAATATTTTTATTATCAGTGTGAGATCTTAGAAACTTAGCCTCTGTTTAAAAGAAATATGTCATTTTATACTGAGCTCAAAAGTAAGTTATCTTTATTTTTAATTTTGACCTATTTACTTCAAATGATATAAGTATCTATATAAAAACATTATTAAATAGTGCTAAGAACTACCTTACTTTTAATTTTAATAAAATGATGTAAATATAAAAATGTATTCAATTGTCTTCCTCACTGTACTCAAGATTATTGATGTCACATTTGGTAATTTAAATATTTTGCCATCAACCCATGTTCATATCACAAAGTCTTACAGTTGTGATTGTATACAAGATGAGATTGTTTTTGCAAAAGTTGTTTAAACCTTCCAATATTTTTTAGTTAGATTATTTATTATTATAATAATAATGATGATGGTTTTAAACCTTCATTTTTCACTGCCAATCACACAAATCAAATATGTTCACTAGCCAGTCACCTACAAATTAAAATAAAGTAAATATTCTTATTCCTTTCTTGTTTTATTCCTTTTATTGCTTGCTTCTCTCTTCATTGTTTTTCTTTTCTTAAGGAGAATTGGAAGAATATCCTTTATGAAAACCTATTTTGGCCCTTCTGCTGATTTTGATTATAATGATATTTTTATGGCATAATATGACTAACTATTGCTATATTATTTTCTTTTACTACCAAAAATTAATTTATATGATTCTTCCTCCTCAATATTATAATTTTTTTCCTCTTATTACTTCCCAATTTCCCAATAATAACTGAGCAGCCTAAATACTAGTTGTTTAGTTTAAGTTTAGGCTTTTTTATTTAAAAAATATTATTTATTTAAAATTTTTTCAAAAGGATTATGACCAAAAGTTTGTCATCAAAATCCATATGCTTTGTAAGCTGAGTAAGAATAGTACTCAAGGGGAGACTATTTACATATTTGGTCTTTAACAAATCAATCTTTTTCATACTAAACATTTATTTAGTTCTTGACTTAAAATTTTCTGAAGTTGCACTTGACTAATATTTTCATTGAGGCACATGAAAAAAAAACAAAAAAAACAATGTAAAATAAAGTAACAGATGTTTGGGGAATTTAATGATTTCCTTTTAGACATAATGATAACAACTTCATGCTGTATTTAGAACCAACTGCAGAAGCTATGAAATGTGATGAATAGATTTTCTCAAATGTAATATTCATTTTTGTTGTTGTTGACAACTAGTATCACTCACCTACAGATTTTGATATAGCCAACCCTGGATTTTTTTTCTTACCTTAACATTGATTTCCTTTCAATCTGATCATTTTAGAAGCAGTTTTCCTTTCTTTTTCCCAGAACAATAATTTTATTTTTATACCTATTTGCTTACAATATTTCTGTGAACAGTTGACAAAAGATATACTGTAAATTCTGTTCTTGCTTATAATTTACATTATAAAAATTTTGCTTTTTAGAGTCTCAGAATATTTTCAAAATCAATACTTGCAATAAATGTAGTTTCCTTATCAAGTTGCATTAAAATGTATTATCTATGAAAGATCAGTGGTGAAAGTAATTGATTTCAAAGTGCCTTTTATTGATTAGTGATGATTTCAGATTACCCTTGAATACAGCATTTATGAAATATAGAGAATAAGAATTTAAGTTTTAATATTAAACTCAATTTACCAGTGAATTTTATTTTATGCATAATTATTAGGTACCAGTGGTAGGTGATGCAACCTGTTGGATATTGTTAATTATATATACAATAGCCAAAGTTTGTAAATTTAAAACAAATGCTTTGAAGTAAAAAGTGATATTTTAAAATTGAATGCTTTGATATTTGAATAACAAACAAAAGAACTGATATTGCCTGAGAATACATTTTAATTAATTTGAAACATTTGTGTTAATGATCCATAAATACAATGCCTACAATGCATGTTTTGTGTACCTAAATCATTATTTATGTTTTTCTAGTAATAAGTCTTCTCAGTTTCTTGTTGACTTAGGGGTTATTCTTTTGATGTTAACAACTATTATTATAGTTTTTACTAATAATGACAGGTATTTAAATTGTGGATGCTAAAACAACCTTTTGGTTTAAAGAAAAGAAAAGAAGGTAATGGAGTGACTTCATAGAAATTTTGTTAATGTTTCCTTGATGCACCAAAGATGTGATTCAGTGCTCATGTGCCTAATGTCTCATGATTTCATATCTACTCTTTCCTTTAATATTTACCATGTTATAGAAAGGGAAAATATATATTTAAAAGAAAAAACAAAAATATAACAGTCAAGAACTTAATCATTCAGAGATCAATGGACATCAACACATATACATTGCCTGAAATGTCAAAAAAATACATTCTGTCTGATGAATATTAAAATTGTCTAAACCATTAAGAACAGGCTAAAAGTAATAATTTGATGTTAGTATCATCAGTAAATTTTATCAAGCAAAGGAGACTGGTCATTACAGATACTGAAGAAAGAATATTCAAAACAACTATTCATTTAGTAAAACTAGCGGGATCAGCCATTATAGATTATTAGTATTTAATAACATTCTTGCGTGTATGTATATATATATATATATATATATGACTGACATGAAAAGACAAAATTTATTTTTATTACCATTCATGATGATAATAGATAAAAAGTAAAACTGAAAAATGGGCTAGCTAACCGGTTTTGACTCTCACTCAACAGAGCTAAATCGAGGTTAATAAATAGAATTATCACTAAAAAAAAGATGGACAATATGTAAAAAAAAAAAATTGCTTAGATGGAAATTAGTTGGAGGCCCAGTACAAAATCCTTCTGTTTATACAGAGAAGGCTTCAAAGACAAAATATAAATGGCCTCCAACACTTTTAAGTGGTAATTTGAGTGGGACTTGCTAAGAATAGTAAATGACTCCACACTGAAATTAGCGACACAATTATGGCTATTTATTAAATGTTCTCCGATGGAAGACTTTTATGTATTGGTAAGAATGTCTGAAGGTGTGTACTTAAGATTGTGGATTTTCATTAGAACATGTTGCTTTATTCTGACATCCAGCCTTTGAGTCATTCTCCCTATGTAGTATGAGCTATAATTACATTTAAAGGAATAAATTAAAAAAAACTATTATGATATGGAGGGAGAATGTCCTTCCACATGGATATTATATCCATGTGGAAGGACATTCTCCCTCCATATCAAAAAAATCCTTTCAAAAATAATACATATACATAATTTCTAAAGAATTAATGGGTTTATTTTTAATCTGACATTTTTATTATTTCATACATTATTATAGTAGACAGTGTGTATTATGTCTATTGCCTTGCACCTTTGAGAAATCTTATTAAAGAAAATGTGTTCTCTGGCAGGAATCAAACTTTTGTTCTCCTTTTCATCCAGCATACTCGATCACAAAGAATATTACAGTATGCAAGGCTCTATTTTCTCTTTACTCAGATTATTTATCTCAAAAAGCCTATATCTGTTCAGTTTTGTATCAAAAGATTTTTCAAATGCACAGATTGATAGACATAATACACAGTTTAATAAAATAAAAATGGACCATCTATTTCAAATATATAGTGTTCCACTATAATAAAATTTGAAGTAATAAAAATGTTAGATTAAAAATAAGTCAATTAATTCTTTAAAAATTGTTTTGTTTGCATCATCAATCCATAGGTCATGTAGAACTGAAATGCTCTGTCAACAAGGCAATGACATTTCAAGTTGTTAACCTGAAAGTTTCACCAATCCTAGGAAAAGATGCATGTGAACTTAGAATTATTGAAAAAATTGGCAGTAAATGCTGTGAACTTATCACGAGAACTAAAATTGGAAAATCTGCTCAGCTTCTCAGAAGTCTAAGAACATTATTACCCACTAGTGGGGATACCTGGTGTTACTCAGAAAACCTCTGAATAATAGTTTATTATTGACTATTGATATTTTTCAACCATCTATAAATGGCATTATTCTGTATGTGTCTGGCTAAAACTAAATAACTACAGTATTTAAAGACAAAGTAAATATATATACAGACTCATTATCACCCAAGCCAGTTTTTTGTAAAAAAAAAAAAATTATCATCTCAGAATTAAAGTAAAAATGAATGGTAATAATTCATATTCCTGTTTAGGATTACTGTTTGTTTTTACTTTTTAATTCTGTGAATACTTTCAAAATGCTATACATGTAGTATGTGTTTTTAAAATTTCTATTCTCTTGAAATTATTTTCACATCTTGTGGAAAAATAAGTGAAATTACATGTGAGTGTATGTGGGAGGCAGAGTGTTTGCCATGATGGTTTCTCCAAGCACTGGTTTTTATAATCGTTTTACCAGAAGGGGTGGAATGTGCATATGCCATCTTGTTACTTAAGGCACTTTTCCTTTGTGAGAGGAACTTATGAAAACAGTCATTTTGCGAACTCTCTTCTCACATAGTTAACATTTGC